TTTTTTTTGATCCCTCCCTTTTAAAGCAGAGGTCCAAGTTCTAGCCCATGTCCAGTCCCACACGTTGGCCTGCCGCTGGTCTGCCGCTGCAAACCCGTTGACATGGGTCTGTGCCCGACGCTGTTTTCAGGCATACACACATACAGGCATGGGTGTGTGCCACGACCTCAGGCCAGGGGTTTAAAATAAAAATAAAAAAAGTGGCAGGTAATCAGAGAGACAGATAGACGAGACGATAGGCAGACAGGCGGGCAGGCAGACAGACAGACAGGTAGACAGACACGCAGGCAGACAAGCAGACGGGATGACAGGCAGACGTTGAAGTGGGAGATAGGCAGATGGACAGACATGCAGACAGGCCGAGGGACAGGTGTTACTTGGCAGATAGGCAGACGCGCATGCAGACAGGTGTGGACGTGGCAAACAGGCAGACAGACATAGAGGCAGAAAGGCAGACGGGCAAACAGTTGTTGACGTGGCAGACAGGCAGACAGGCACGCAGACAGATATTGAGTGACTGTTTGATTGTCTGCCTATCTGTCTGTCTCCTTGTCTGCCTGTCTGCCTGTCTCGCATGTGTTGACGTGGCAGACAGCCAGACAGGCAGGCACAAAGGCAAACAGGCAGACGGACAGGTGTTGACGTGGCAAACAGGCAGACAGGGACCCACACAGGTATTGAGGGTCTGTTTGATTGTCTGCCTGTCTGTCTTACAATTTTTTTTTTTTTTTCTCTTTTGTTTTGCACAACCTGATCTTGGACCTGGACCTTAGTTCGGACCTGGTCGTGTTCTCAGGTTTACCTGGGTGTACGTCATGACCCATTTCCTTGATTTTTTTTTTTTTTTTTTTTTTTAACCCAGACCTGGATCCGTACATTCACGCCAGACCCAGACCTGGATCCGTACATTCACTGATACACACAGACAGGCAGACTCAGGCAGCACACAGACATGACAACTCAGACACACAAACAACACGCAGACACACATAGGACCCAGACACACAGCACACAGATATACACAGACAGACAGACTCAGGCAGCACACAAAGAGGTGGACTCAGACACACAAACATGCAGACTCAGACACAGACAGGCAGACACGGACACACAAACAGGTGGACTCAGACGTAGACTCAGGCAGGCACAGTGTTAGGCTGTACGCTTTCGCTTGCTTTTTTTTTTTTTTTTTTTTTTTACCCCAGAGTTGGACCTGTCCATACATGGCAGACGTGGACCCAGAGTACGGATGGGCCTGATGTTAG